GAAAGAGAGAGAGAGAGAGAGAAACCGGGAGAGACGGAGCGCGAGGCAAAGAGAGAGTGAGAGTGAGAGGGAGTGTGCACAGGTGTAGCAGCTGGATTTAGCCATGAGACTTGATTCTCTTAAGCGGCATGCTCGAGGCAGAACAGCCTGGCTCGCGAGAGCCATTCCTGCACGCCCTGTGCATCGTTGGCGTCCGCGAAAGCCTGAAGCTTCCAGCTTTTGAATCCAGCATGCTACCAGTGGTGGCAGCGATTGGCTCAACCTAAGCTTGCGTTGGCATCCCTACCAGCTGCACCGGCCTCGATCACGATTTGGAAGACCGAGTGGTCCGGCTGTAAGTGCAGGGAGCTGAAGATCAATTGCCTCAGAGGGCATCCAAACCCTCGGAAGCAATTGGATGAGGAAACCCAAGGAAATTCTAGGCCGTGGCTGAAAGATATCCCATACCTGCAAGTAACTCTGCAGGCTAGGAAAGCTTCGAGGTATCTGACAGAAGCGACTCTCGGCCTCCTGATACGGCACGAGACTGCGATGGCCCGTAGCCAGGCCCTGCACAAGATCTGTTGCTCTCTTCCACAAAGAAAGACCGTCCTAGTAAACTTCTCTTTCAGCCTGAATGATTCGTCGAAATTGTGCAAGCTCGGCAGCCCGGCCCATCTTGGGCCCTAAGTGACAGGGCCCGTGCTGCGAGAAAAGGCGAAACGCTGCGGACGAGATGCGGCGCTGGAGGAACTGCTGCAGGTGCCTCCAGAAGCTCCCGTCCCGTCCCGTCTGAACGAACCCAAAGCATCAGCTCAGGGCCTGCGGCCCTGCTGCACTGCATCGGCTTGATGCTGGCGCAGGAGCAGCGAAGCTGCGGCTGCATGCCTCGGCGCGCACGCTCACAGAGCCGAAAGTTCCAAGCTTCGAGAGGAGGCTTTGCTCCAGGCGGGCTTCCAGCTTCTTCCAGCAGCCTCCAAAACCTGCAGCCGGGTATGACATAGGCAAAAGCAGTCTCAGTGTTTGTGTGTGTCCTCAGCCACCAATCGATGGAGGAGATCTGTCCAGCTTGGACATAGGCCTCTGGGCACCATGGTTCCGAGTAGCACAATCTTGCAGACACCCGAGGCCCGAGACCTGCATGATTTCTGCAAGCACCTCCTCGTTTAGAGAAGCCCGGTCCATCCTGTACAGAGCTACCAGTAAGGGGCACAAGATGGGACTCCTTCCAGCACTACAAGACCGATCCTGGCAGGCTCGTAAGCCTTCAACAACGTGTTCCTCGGTCAAGCACGCCTAAACAATTCTTCTGTTGAAGTAGTGCATGCAGACTTGGTGCGGAAAAGCAATGCATAGAAATGCTGAACAGCCTTGAGGTGGCTCCTGTAGAATGTGTGTATCGCTCCGAGGACGAGGCCACAGCAACGTGGGAGTCAAGCCGGCGGTGGCAAGTGTTGGATCCACCTGTGCATCAGCATCTTTTGCCCAGCTGATGCCAGCTTGCAGGGAAAGCTGCACAATGCCTCCAGGATCCGTCTGAACAGGTCGGAGGCGATTTGCCTCCTCCCATCCTGCTTCAAGGCCAGCAGATGAGCTTCTTGTGCAACTTCTCTTTGGCGCGAACCCTCGCTATGTTTGTCCAGTAGCTACAGCATTCGGTTCAGTAGCAGTCAGTGGCAAGAGCAGCATCATTGCAGCTCCTGCTGTTGCTGCTGCTGTTTCTTGTTGTTTCAGACCGCTGCCGTTCTGCGGCTATGATGGCTATGATGGCTCTGCTTACTGGTGACAGCTTAAGTCCGCTGTGCATGATGAAGCTTCGGATGGTGATGGCAATCCTGCTTGGTGCTGTCATTGCTGCTTTACCCGAAGAGCCAGTACTGTCCTTACTGAAACCAAAAATCTTGCCATTGTTGTCCTGTTCATGAATGGCGGCGTGTGATACTGACGGTGATGGTGAAGAAGAACAAGTTGATTCTGTTGTTTATGATGATGATGGTGATGATGGTGGTGATAACCATGATGTTAATGATGTTGATGCCGCGTGCTATGAAGAGCATGTTAACGAAGCAAGACCGTGTCATACGCCAGCCAAGAACCGAGCTGAGGCAGCCAAGTCCAGCTGTCCGAAGAGACGGAGGACCTGTCGGAGCCCGATTACGTGCTCTCCGGCTTATTGTTCCCGGCCCTGAGTCCTGTTACGGGGCAAGTTCACGATCCTGAAACGGCAAACCATTGGAGGACTCCATACGGGTCGGTCCTGAAATGTGGCAAGCAAAAGGGCTACGCATGCATGCGGGCTCGCGGCTCCTATCAGATTTCATTGATCTGATCTGACCGGGCAGTTTGCTTGCAACAACCACGGAATCCTTCTTTCGTCTATTACTCTCCTTGGGAGCTCAGCTGAAACTGCTGAGAAACTTCTTGCTGCAACAAGAAGAGTGGGACAAGTCTTGATAGCATGTCTTCCGGCCTCAGCTTGTCTCTGCTGCTCTCCTGATGCCTGGGCCGCCGAATCAAGCATGAATTCATCCTGGACTTAGTCGTCATCACAACTCAGATTGAAGAGAGCACTGTGAGCGATTCTGGCAACAATCCACGATGCAACAAAGTTCTGGGCTCAGCGCAAGTCTTCCCTTCTGTAAGGCTTCGCGATTCCTGTCAGCGGAATATAGCGGAATCACTCTCTTCCCAGCATTAGCTGACGCACTGGCTAGTGCAGCTAGTTCACCGCATTGTGTCATAAAGCTTAAAGCGATGGTTCACAACAATCATGAAAACAAGATTTTGCATGATGGATGGGAAGTAGTAGCTCCAAGTGTTTCGGGCCCAAGAAGTACCGTAAGAGCTGGGTCAGTGCTGCGGAAGCAACGAGCAACAGGACATGTAAAAAGCGAAGCGTAGGACAGAGCAAGCCAGAAAAGTCAAGGGAAGACCGAACCTTCAGAATGGGTTTCCCCACGCGCGCGTTGTCTTGGACAACTTGGATTACAACAGCGCCCCGAGGCAAGATTGAAGAATGACGAATGGAATGACTACACGGAAAATTGCAGAAACCAGACCAGCACCAGAACGAAAAAATAACCAGCACAAACACTACCAGGTAACTGCCACCATCAACAACAACTCCAATGCCAGACCAGGATTAGCGCATGCTGAAGAGTTGGCCTCCGGACGAGGGCAAAGCTTGGTTCTCCATTGACCTGCCATTCTAGCCGCAGGGTGCTCTTTATAGCTTCAGGTATGAAAGTCATGGCTGCCCGTCTGCGGCGCATCGCGACATGTTTGCAACGACTCCCGCGTGCACAGCGCTGGGTAGAAGAAGTTGGCTTCTTCTATGGTCCTCAACCGGAGCGCTGGGCTGACCAAGTCTCGACACAGGCCCCTTAATGCTGGTCCCATTCCCTTTGCTCTTTTCCGGGCCCGGCAATGTCTCTCCGCCTCATGATCCGTGACTCCCTGCACCCAGGAACTGCGGCTCCACTCGCGGCTTTCGCTCTTCAGCGGGGCTCGCATGTCGCTCCCGGCGAGCCGTGTGCAGCCACCATGGCGCACTCGCGAGCTCTTCTCTTCCAAGAAATCCACGTGTTCAAGGCGCAGGCACGGTCAAAATTACAGGGCTTTTGCCACATCCCGAGACAGTGACCGGCTGCCGCCCCTGCCCTGTCGACAATTTTGACGCCTCGGCGGTGTCAGCATCAAGTTGCTGATTGAATCTCTCGTCTGTAGTCTTAGGACGGCAGCACTCCCATGTTCATGTCACCGCATCCACCTCGCGACGCTTTCCTGGAATTCGTATCCTGTCAGGGTGCACCCTTTCCTCCACGGTACCGTCGTCCTCATAGCAAACATTCACGAAATTGTCTTCGAACACACAAACCACATATGCCGGCATCCAGGTCACCCCATCAAGCCCCCCCGCACTGCCGTCGTCAGGCTCTCCGAGGTCTGGGAACGGCAGCCAAGAGTACCCAATCAAGACCTTGTCTCCCTTAGCCCAAGGATATGCAAGGGCCGGATCAGCCAAGACATCATCAGTGTAGCGCAGTCGTCGGGCACGAGAAGGGCATCCGGTCACGTCAACCTGAACGGCATCTTCGGACTTCAACTTCGTGGTAGCCCGGGACCAAGCATCTGCAGCATCTTCAGCTGAAGCGGCCATCTCGTAGAAGCCAAAGCCATGACCGACTGGCTTCCAGGATGCAGCGAGGGAGATGCCTCCGCGTCCATCACCAGTCAGTCCACTCTCTGCTTTCACGGGTCCAAGGCGGCAGTCCTGACCGACCAAGCCATGAATCGCCGAGTAGCTAACGATGCGGCAGCCTGGCTGGCACATCTGGAGCCTATTGCTGGCCTCTCGCTGCACCTCAAGCGGCAAGCAGACCTCCATAACAACTGCAGAAGCCGTCTGTAGCATCTCCACGGGCGTATCCAAAAGGGAGGCACAGCGAAACTCGCACCGCACACCGTAGTCGTGGTCCAGCAATACCGTAGAGTCTCCCGCCTCCTGGTCTCCGACATGAGAAACTGCGAAAACTGTGCAGAAGCATCTTAACTATAGCCCCCACTATTCCCACAAATTCCCATTATGCTTTCTCAGGCCTGAAAAGTGAAGCGTTCGCTTGCCCGCGAAAGCTCTCGAAGAGCAGATGCCGCCAACGCATAGCGGCTCGGTGCGAGCTCCAATCCGAAGATGTCAACTCGGTGAGGTGAGCTTCGAACATCACAATCACATACAATTATTATTCAACGTCTCTAAATTAGCAAGTCAATCAGATCAATTCTCAGTTCCGTGCCAGCATGCAAGACACGGCGATAAAATGTGCTACGATGTGCTCCTGCGTGTGTGTGTGTGTGTCTACGTGCGACCGTTCGTCAGCAAGCGTGCAAGGCGAAGAAATTGGGATGCGCTCGAATAACGAAGGGATGTGCCCGGGGCTGTTTACAGCACCAGAAGAAAGGGTTCTCTCATCCCATAGAAATAAGCTTCATTCCTGTCGAACATAGATTATCGAACCCCGCGAATGACGTGGTCTTCAGTCAGGTGGCCGTGCAAGGTGAAGAACAGCTGGAGGGCAACTTTGCCAGTCCCCATGCCCAGCTCCAGGACAGGTCCACCCAGAGGCTCCTGTCCAGGCATTACAAGGCTTTCGGGCGAGGGCCTTGGGTTTAGGAATAAAGCCGAAATGGCCTTAAGGGGGCAACATAACCCGGGCAAGGCTCAGGAGTAAGGCACTCGGGATGCTACGACCTTATCGTGTTGAATCGCGCTCTGCTTGGAGATGTCAGGAGCTGAAATGTGTTTGATCGCGCTTCTCCATGTTAGCTGAGGCATGGCTCCTGGCTGTGCGCTCCGTCAGCGACGTGTTTGAACAGGGGCCAACTAGGATTTTGGTGAGTTAATCTGTCTCCTTAGGGTTTCCCTTGATGTCATGAAACAGCCTCCGTATGATGGCTAGGAACTGTAAAAAATAGATTAGATAGTTGAAAGGACGGGGAGATACCTTTGAAATACAGGTAGGTTCCCAGACATGCACGTGCAGGCAGGCTCTCACAGACACAATAACACGGCCAGCAATGTATTCATGTTAACTTCCGTACGAACGCTACCCAACACAGAGTGCTTGCTTCCACCAGGTTTCTGAGCATTCAACCTCCGCAACAGGAATCTGTAAAAAGAAACTTGCCTCTCTCGTGCAGAAGGCACGCGCCAGCTGCTCGACGCCTTCACACTACAATCAGCACTGGTAATAGTCGAACAGCCATGCGCCGGTCGTCAGAAACCACAAGCATCAAACTGCCCGCCTTCAGGCAGCAACTCTCCTGAGCTCAAGTCCAGGCACAGAAACTTGCGGGACCGGAAACTCGCAGTAAATTCGTGCCATCGAGACTCCGTAGAGCAGGCTGCTGCCACGACCCTGCCTGCGAGAGAGACAGACTCCCCAAGGTCAAACGCAGCAAGGAAGGCTCGGCTTGGCGTGAACGGCTTTGCGCTACATGTCACCCTTTGGCAATAGCTGTGCCGTCGGGTATTCCCTCAACACTCACCGCAACGCGTAAAGGACAGAACATACTGTGCTCCGTCGTCAGGCAGCCACACACGGTTGCAGAATGCTGCAGACATGTACCAGGTCTGAGGGACAGATCGACATGCATGGGCCCATCTTTACGAACAAGTCTTCAAAGCCGCTTCGATTCCATGGTCAAGATGAAACAAGGGCCATGTCAAGTCGAGCGAACGAAACCTTATTGGCACTACGGCACTACTACATCTTGTGATGTTCTGACACCCTGTACCCCCAATCGTGTTCTTCACCTCTGCAGTAGTGTCATCTCATCGTCTGTTTCAGCTGTGTTCGATGACAACAGCCGCAGAGCGTCCACTGCTTCCCCTACAATTAGTCACAACCAGAGTCCACATCGAATTGTCTACTTCGGTTGAGTCGTTGCCTGGTCGGCGCAGCCAGAAACAAAAGTACACACGGACTTAAACGCGCACACACAGAGAGCAGATCGGATCGGCTTGAAACCCCCGTCGAGAATGGATGCATGCAATACTGCATGTTCGGCCAAGCTGCTCAACCACACTAGCAACATCTGCCGCGCCGACTACCTGTCAAGATGGGAGGTCATGCATCCCTGCGACTCTTTGACCACTCACAGATCAAGAAAAAGGAAGATGCACCTGGTGCCCGGCGAGGTCGTGACCTCCGTTCAGGTCTTTGCATTGTTGGGGCTCGTCGCTTGTAGCACATTGCGCCGATGTCGCAAAAATCAAGAGTTGATTAATCAAAGGTAGATCCGAGCTGCCCGTCTTGCCCCACTCATCACCATAGGCTGCTCTCAGCAATTCCTGGAAACGTCACTTCAAGATACCTCTATGTTAGACAGCTGATTCGCATGATTTTGCACGTTCTGTAGCAGTCAGTAACCAAACCCCCTGCACTGTTCTCCAACTGGCATGCTTCTTAAGATGCCGAAGTGTCTTGGAGTGGCGAGCCTGTGAAGCTTCGTCCATGAGGGCAACTTGCAGCCGCTGTAAAGCTCGATGTCGTTGTTGTGGTGACGTTAGTATTCAGTGTTGTGATTGAATAGTACTTAGTCGTCTTGGGTCTTAAAACGACCTACGACATCCTGCTGTAGAGACTTGCAGCTGAACACGTCTGACAAAAGCACATCCTGCAGAAATCACGTGAGGCAAGCTGCATGATGCAACTACCCTTTTGTCACGACTGACTCGCAATGGTCTTTGTGCGATCTTTGGTCGTGCTGCTTGTCGGTGCGTCTTGGACGTCCGGCTTTGCAACCCAGAGCTCACCGCTCCAGGTGACCACGCAAGTTTCGATGAATTAAGATTTAGGAAAGCGTCCAACATCACTATGGCTATCACAGCTCGTGTTCTGTGTAGTATTAATAGGCAAACTCGACCTTCCCATTTCCTCCCCGCTGCTCACGTTTGTACGTACGCATACATGCATATATACATACGGCCGACATGTGTTGCGCTACAGTATCCGTCTCCTCCCAGTATGATCATGTATGTATGCACCCATGCAATCTGGCAGCTTGCTTCATGATCGCCTCGCCGGATCCGACTTGGGTGGCACCGTCGGGCGCCCGAACTCACCTCCGGCCTCTCGCAAAGACTCCATGAGACGAAAGCCTGCCAGATTTGGTGTGAGGTGGAGGTGCAAAATACAAAACAACTCCAACCAGGGGAGACGGCAGCGCCGGAAAGTCAAGGTGCAGCAATGGTACCCTTGCCCGAATACTTGTTCAGAACAAGTCTTGATGATGTCTGGGCTACAGATTCTTCAAAGCCATTTGCAAAGTCAGAAGACCAGTGCCTTTGCCTCTCCTGATCAACAACTCTGGCAACAAGAGATGCAACAAGTACATGAGAGGTCCAGCATGTGGCAAAGTGCCTCTCCGCTGCTGGGAGTCTGGACTGGGAGGGCTCTGCAACTGCACTTGGCCCTGCCAACAGCTGTGATTTGGTTCAAGAGTCCCCGGCTTTTGAACAGATTTGGCCACAGATTACCGACATGAACAGAAGGGCAAAGTGCTGCCTGCTGCACTTGCGTCTGCCCTGCTGCAGCGGTCCTCACCAGTTTCGTCTAAAAGTTAGGGACTTCGTCAGCCAGACAACGCAGGAAACTCGAGAAATCATTATTTCACTCACAGCCCTGCGACACGAAGGGTCCCACATGTTTATTGCTTTGGCCGGGCCTCCTGGAACCTCGGAAATAGAAGAGTACGGTTTCATCATGTCGTCTCTTCTTAGGAGTGCATAAGCAGCATGAGAAACATGTGGGGGGGGGCACTACATCTCTTATTTCGTGTGTATTTCCATGTTCGCCGAGTCTAGGTCTAGGGCCTGTCGTAGCTTTCAAAACTACAGTAGCCTTGAGTTCATGCGTGCAGAACAACATCCAATATCAGAAAGGTAGTACCTCATTCACGGGGTGTTCATCCGTCGGCCCGAAAGGTGTAGCTCTCGGACCCCCGGATCTCCCAGAGAACCCGATTTCTTTCATGCATTACAGCTGCATTACTCATTTCTCAACCCGGCTCAGCCACGGTTTATACCCACCACTGGGCGGCGGCTTTTCTTATCCAGGGAGGCGCATTGTGACAATGAATGATAGAACTTTCCAGAATTTTGACAAACAAAGGTCTGTGTATCTTGCTATTGCTGATTCCCTGCCATGAAGTTCTCACTCCGGGCGCTTGATGCGATATCGACTGTCTTCCTGGGCTTGTAGCAATCTATCAACCTGACACTTCAGGTCCTCTGCATTTCATCGCGACGATGCACTTTCAACCTCAGTGCTGGCACTCGAACTATGATGATGATGATAAAATGTGCGACGCTTAGGCTGCCTGTCCCTGGCAATGCTGCGCAAAGCGAACATGGAATCCCATCACACTTCAGGGTGACAGCGTGTCCAACCGAAGGGCGACAAGCCCGCGCAATGTTGTGGAATCGCGGATCGCATCCAGGGCATCACATCCTCGTGACGCCCAGTGAAGATGACTTGACTCACAATCTCGAGAGAAAGCCAGTCCTCTTGGATCATCTTTTCTGTCACCTGCCAGCTTAGGAGGAACTACCTCTGGAGCACGAAACAGTATTTTTGTCGCATCGGAAGGCCTTCCCAAAAGCCGTCTTGAGCTTTTCCTCAACTGGATAGGTCCTCCCACGATGGGTTTAGACTCGACTCCCAGCGGCCCCAAAGCACAAAGCGTTGCTCATTCCGGTAGTTTCGACGAAGCTGCAGTCGGGAACGAAACGAAAAAACCTGAAGAGATCCTTCGAAACGGCTGGTGCCTCTTTTGGAGATTTCCAATCCGCTCTTCCAGGGCATCCAAGCGGGACATGATCTTGTGATCTTCCTCTCACTCAAGGCACAGAGGCTCGCTATGGGCACTGCGCTTTCGAGTCCTCGGCCATATTTCGGAACCACTGCCGGATGGCTGCATCCTCTTTTTCGTCAACCTGAAAAGCATACGGGCTGCAAACAGGTTGAATACTGCTCATATCATTATCAAGCTATCATCATCGTGACAATGACAATGATAGAAGCAAGACGCTGTCTCCAATGACGGGGATTGCACAGAGAAAATGAGAACAGCGGCAACAAACAATGAAATGGTGAATAGTGGTGGCAAGTGAGAAACAGCATCGGTGGTCGCAACAGCGACGCTCAAGGTCATCATACGTGTTTTCAGTAAAGTTTTACCGCTGGGGTTATATGACAGCAGCACTGACCAAGACAACCACCTCAGAGCCCCGCTGCCGCCAGACTGCGCTGCTCCACTTGGGGGGTGCGTGGAGTCTCGACCTCTCACTGAAAGATGACAGAAACCGCACCTTTTAGGGTTTCCGGGATGCGCAGGGTGTGGTGCTATGGTGCAGGGTTTGGGACTCGGAGTTTACAGTGCAGGCCATGCAGGCTTGAGGGCTTCAGCGCCGGGGAATGGTAGGCCCTTCCTTCATTCAGCAAAAAGGGTGCTTATCGTAATCCGCCGAGGCCACAGGCCCAGGCGTCTTGGGGGTTACCTCAAGTACCCTCCACCTAATCCTCTTCCCTG